CGAATCTAACCATATAATTTTCAAAAGTTATGGATTGAAGGTTAGCATGAATTTTATTCAATACTAAAACTAAAACCTAACTGATCAGAGAAGATATTATGAAAGTACAAGCAAAGATAATCAAAACCATGGACATGGTCATCTTCCTAGACATGATATCTACATCTTTTCTTCATAATGTATATACAAATGATGCTTGAATAAAGAGTTCCAAGTTTGAAAAAAAAAACTTACCTCTTGGATTGAAATTCAAAGGACTTCTACACGAACTCCAGAAATGACTTGATGATGGATTAAGCTTGCAGGGACCTTCCTTAAGCTAGTGGGATCACTACTTTGCTTTAAAAGTAAGAAGGATTTTAGAGTTGGCTCTTCAAAGTCAGAAATGGCAAGCAATATGGCTTTCGGTTATGAGTCCAAGGAGTTTTGAGAAGTTTTAGGAGTGTTCTAAGGTTGGTATATGGAAGCTAGGGAGTGAATCTAAAGGCTGGTATATGGAAGCTAGGGGGTGAATCGAAAGGCTCACTAATGCATGAAGGGATTTGAGATTTTTGTGTGTAAAGTCAGGATGTGCCAAGTTTTGTGCTGGTTCTGAGTTTTTGAGAGTTTGCGAGTTTTTGAGGATTTCTAAACACAACAAGAATCGGGCCCCTTTAGCTTGCAAATGGCCTCTCTATTTATAGAGAAAAGGTCTGGGAAGTTGGAGTGACCAGATTTGTAAGATAACAAATTATGGTTTGGTTAGAATGCAAATATCAAGTTATGTCAAGTTTTCCATGATCCCAAGATGAAGTACCAAAGTTACTGGTTTAGAAGGGTTGCTTTCTATGATTTATGGTGGGGCAAAAATCAGAAACAAGCAAAGTATGGGCTCAAGACAAACTTGTACCAAAAAGTTTTCTTTCCAAGAATAGCAATGATAACTTTATGCCATAAATGTAAAGATCTTTATGACAAAGGCTTAAACACTTGGGTAATAACTCAAAAGTGGGTGTAAGCATTAAATTATGATGGGATTTTCAAGCAAGGAGGCCTGCAACACAAGATTATGCAACATAGCATAAGGATTTTGTTATGTTCTTCAAAATTCTGTCTTCGACTTGATTCCTTCTACAAAGATCTTGAATCTCTGTAGAACTTTGATCTTTTTTCTTTAATCTGGTCGAATACTCCATCCTTTCATTTTGATCACATGGATCCACAACTTTCGACCAAACTCATCAATAAGACAAAATAATATTTGTTTCCACCAATTGTGTGTTCTTCAAATGGACCACTTACAACCTTCGACCAAAATCATCAATCAGACAAAACAATATTTGTTTCCACCAATTGTGTATTCTTTGAATGGATCATATTCATCTGAATGCACCACTTTGAGTATGCAAGATGATCTCATTGGCATAGTCAAAACGAAATAAAATATGGATTACTTTCCTACTTCACAAAGTTTTCTCAGGCATCAAAAGACTTGTAATTCATAGTGTTGAAACTATGTGTGTCGAAGGGTTTAGTATGTGGATCGAAGCAAGCATGAAGGAAGTCATTGCCTTGTGGATTGAAGCAAGCGTGAAGGAAGCCAATTCCTTGTGGATCGAAGCAAGCATGAAGGAAGCTAATGCCTTGTGGATCGAAGCAAGCATGAAGGAAGCCATTGCCCAATCGAAGCTTGTGGATCGAAGCAAGCATGAAGATAGCCATTACCCAATCGAAGCTTGTGGATCGAAGCAAGCTTACTCTTCTTCGATTTGTCAAAAATCTGCCAACCACTCCTTTCAATCAGTCATGTGATTCGAAAAGCCTGAACCAGATTTTGAACTGCACACACATTTTTTATCTGCTTTGCCCCTTTCGATAGTTTCCTCTTCCTCCTTTCTTCGATCTAATGCTTGAGAGCCCAATATGATCCATGAAAATCATATGAAGCATCAAAGGTCCAAATGTCCTTATACAAACTCAAACCCTAATTTTGAGTCATCAGTGTTTAGGGAGGTATCTTAAGCTGGTCAAATTTGGTGCAGTCTTGAATCAATGGAGATCTTGTGAGAGAATCTTTCAGAAATTGAGAGGGCAAATTTTGGGGTACAACAGATATCATATGTGGAAGAATTGGTTTGTCGCCCAAGATTCACATGGATGAGCGGTGATGACAACAATCGAACACACCAACAATACACTTGGCAACCACCTCAAGTTGGTTGGGTGAAATGCAATGTGGATGCGGGATTTAATAAACACCTAGGCACGACTAATGGAGGTTGGTGTGTTAGAGATTGCTTTGGGGTTTCATTTTGACGGGTACATCATGGGATTATGGACTGTATTATATTGTTGAAGCGAAGGTGGTGGCTTTGAAGGAAGCGATTCAAGGAGGGAGCCATTCAAATGAACTTGAGTCATATTACCTTTTGAAAGTGATTCACAATTGATGGTTCAAACTATTAACGCTAACTCCTTCGATAACTCTGAATTTAGCATGATAATTTTAGCATTAAGAATCTTTTAATTTTACACAATGACTTTGAGGTCAAATTTGTTAAGCAACAAGCGAATTAGATTGCCCATAATTTAACTAAGACATCCAATTCTTGATCTAGGCATACAATTTTATATTTGGGTCCTCTTTGAATTGTACGCTTTTTTGCATAATAATATGAATTGAATTTGATTTTGTAAAAAAAAATAGTAACACCTACTAATCTACTAGTTTAAGAAATTCATAAAAATAAAAGAGTGAAAAAGAATAAAGTGCATAAAAAAACTCATATTGACTGATTTTGTTTGTCACTGTTTTTTTTTTTAAGTCAGAGATATTGACCACGACTTTGTTTAAAGACGCATTTGAGTAATTGTTTTGAATGTTACACTTGTTTGGCAATATAAAGTGCATAAAATACTTGTATTGACTAATTTTGTTTATCACAACTTTTTTTTTAGTTGCCAACCATGAATTTGTTTAAGGAAAAAAGGACTTGCGGCATCTGATTATATACTACAAAAAAAAAACTCTAATTTATCGGATGAATAACATCTTATAAATGTAAATATCACAAGGCAACGTAATAATTGTGGGATGGACAAAACACGCTATAAAAATGTTAATTGCAACTTTTTGTAAGGAGTAATACACTCCGCAACTTTGCCAGATAAAAAGTATTTCACAATTTTGTCAGAAGAAAAGTATTCCGCAATTCTTTTCCCTTAGAATTCAGACTGAAACATGCATATCAGAGCAGATAAAGGTGGTTCAGAGCAGAGCAGAGCATAAAGAGACAGAAATTTGCGAGGTGAAATTCACCGAGCAAAATGAATTTATATTATTAAAAAAATATGATATATTTATATTAATCTAAATATTAAAATAATATTTAAAATAATATAAATATAATAAATAATTTAAATTGAGAAATTAATAAATGCTAAAATTTATAATTAATTCTAAATATTTAAATTCATATTTAATTTAAAAAATCTATAATTATTTAATTTTTAAAATATATTATATATATTTATATTTATTTCAGTTTTAATAATATTACATTTTTTAAAAAATATTTTAAAATATTTTAAACAATAAATTATTAAACTGTTTTACAAAAAATAATAAACTAAATTTCTAATATTATTTATTTATTTATTATAAAAAAACAAAGAAAAAAAATTATTAACACATTTCTAAACCGATTATATATATATATATATTTCTATCATACAAATCAATTTTATATTTCAAAACAAAACAACTTATTAATATGTGTATTTTTGTAAACGAATTTGATAAAAATATGAAAAGCAAATTCGAATCCAGCAAAAAATTTGAGTATTGAAGTCTTGATTTGGTGTTAAAATTGACAGATTTGAGAGATTTAGAGTTGTAAAAGGGTTTGTGAAAGAGTTTGTGAAGAAATATAATGGAAAGAAACAAGGAAGATGAATGTGGAATGGAAAAAAAGGAAAGCGAAGTGGTCATATATAAAGGAAGCTTACAAGGTGAAAATTTACCTGGCAAAGTTTTTATCTGTTGGGAGTTGCGGGCTGTAATTCACCTGACAAAATATGTGATAATACAGCTAACCTGTCACACTGACACAACAATAATTATATCAGTGGATTTCCCCCAATTTTTTTTAAAAAAGTTGCGGGGTGTTTATCACTTTGCAATTTTCTTTTCAAAAATTTTAAATTTTCCCTCATATGTTGCGAGATGGAAAATCTTACAATTTAAAAAAAAACAATATTGTGAGATGAATATTACTTTGCAAATACGTTATTTAACAAAATGAATAACACCTGGCATAATCGCCTAACAAATTTAATGTTTTTTTATAGTGATAGTATTTTATCTTTTATTCATATACTCAATATTCAACCACTAGTTTATGTTGGGACTTGAGAGAGTACTGACTAAGTTACATTCATATATTGATTAAAAAACAATTGTATTTACATAAGAGCAGGTTGACAACACTTCTTTATAGAAAAAATCATAAACATTAAAGATGTCTTCTCACGAATAAAATACTCAATATATATTCAACCACTAGTTTATGTTGGGACTTGAGGGAGTACTGACTAAGTTACATTCATATATTGCCTAAAAAACAATTGTATTTACATAAGAGCAGGTTGACAACACTTCTTTATAGAAAAAATCATAAACATTAAAGATGTCTTCTCATTTATAAAATATTCAATATATATTTTTCTATACGAAATTTTAATCCAAATTTAATACATCATAACAATTATAGCAACAATAAGATAAACATGAACAAATCTAAGAGAACAATAATATATTTTTAAAATTTAACATAACACTTGCATATACAAAATATTTTACAGAATTTATTGAAATAAATCAAAATGGCATGACTATTTTGTCATAATTAATACGAAATGCTTTTTATTGAGATAATAACAATACTCATACATGCAAATGTAACTTTGAAATTTTAGATTCAAACACCGAACACTGTTTGGTAAACAAATTTGAAATACACCTAGTTGTATACCTTTTCTAGAACAATTCTTAGCTTCTGAGACTTCTCTAATGATAGTCCAAACTTGTCATCCATGTCCATATCTTCTACTTTTGTTCCATCTTCTAGTTTCCAGTTAAAACAATTGATAAATGAACCTAACATCAAAGGTAACATCTTTGTAGCTAACGATATATCAGGACAAATTCTTCTTCCAGAACCAAATGGTAAAAGCTCGAAATTGTGACCTATAGCATCAATTTTAGAGCCTAAGAATCTCTCTGGTGAAAACAAGTTTGGATTTTCCCAAACACTTGAATATCTACCAATAGCCCACACATTGACCCAAATTTGTGCATCTTTTGGAATTGTCTAGCCACCAATTTCCACATTTGCATCAGCTTTACGAGGGACTAAAAATGGAACAGCAGGGTGTAATCTAAATGTCTCTTTTATTATTGCTTGTAAATAAGGAAGCTTAGCAATATATGAATCTTGAACTGGTTTTCCTTTGCCAATGATTTGTTCCAACTCTTGTTTTTCTTTTGACATAACCTTTTCATTTTAGGTGATACCTCCCCTAATGCCAAGTAAAGGGACATTAGGGAATTCTCCACAACGGTCGACAATAGTAACATTCTCTATGGATCGGGAGCACCAATGAATATCGGAATGTTTGAGTGTCATCAACCTTTGTGACCACCTTGAACCTTGTTCATTCTTTAGTACAGATTAGGGAAGATGCGAAATAAACCATCTTTCCAAGAGAGGAGTGCAACACATAAGGACACCTCTTTTCCTCATTGTGCGAGTGTGAAAAGAGTGTAGGATATCCCCTAGTAATGTAGGCACCAGTTTGGGGGATATGAAGATTTTGACAGTGCTCACATCTATGAGTTGATTGGGATTTGGAAACAAAACCATCCCATAGATGAGGAGAGCCACAATTTCCTCAAAATCTTACAGATCCAAAGAATTCCAACAGCTTTGGGCTTTCTCAAACAGGGACTTTGCTAGGAAATCTTTGACACCACTCCTTGTTTCCCAGTGAGTTGTGACATCAGATGAGTGCAAGTGTAGAGCTTGAGCAATCTCTTCTAGCTTTGGGTCTCTTTCCGTACCGTTGAAAGGTAGTTGATTGAGAATGGGAATCTTCAAGAGTCGGGAGAATTCTTCCAAAGTAAGCACAAGTTGATAATAGGGAAATGTGAAGCAATGGTGTAAAGGATCAAAGAACTGAAAGAGCACCTTCATCATGTCCTCATCTGTGTTGGAGGTGACCAAGTTGAGTAGGCGACCATGTCTCTCAGTGAATGGAGAGTTTTCAAGAATCCTTGAAGCTAGCTCCTTAAGTTGTGGATGTATCCTTACAAGGTTGACTTGAATAGTTTTCCTGCGAAGAGAATCCATGTCCTATAAAACAGAACAAAGATAAATCCCAAGATCCTTGAAATGGTTAGTGAATGTTTATGATATTTATGATGTTCATGATGTTATGTACAAGTATGTATACACAAACAAAGCAAACAAATCCTTAGGTTTAGGCTTGCATGGAGTTTTATAGGTAAGTACCCTCTTGAAGTTTAGTTGGCTCAACCTGTCATAGTAATATTAACCGGGTTCTAAGGAGCTCAATATCACTGGTTTGTTTCCTTGGTCATTGTTTCAACACAAGCCTCTTTAATGGCGACCTAAATATCCTAAAAAACCAAATCTCAATGAGTGTAGTATCGAGTATCTACCAACTTCGGACTGCACCAAAGTCGGTCATGTCACTACGTCCTAAAGGCCAAGTTGGTCAAGTAAAGGTTCTAGAAGTTCATTAGTGCTTTATGACATTATTCAGCGGCCCCGTATTCTCCTTGATTAACTCAAAGGCTACAAGTACCCACAAATATGTCGCACTAACGTAGCTATTTCTTAGACCATGTCGGTATACCCCACGTAGTTTCCACAATGTATTGCTACTTACCTATAATGTATCACAAATCTGGGTAGAGGATTCAAACCCAAATAAAGAACCATAATGTAAAGCATACAAGTCAAACAATACAAGCAAGCAAATGTGATCTAGCCCTAAGGTAACCCCACTTTTAAAATTATCCCCAGCAGAGTTGCCATTTATGTGATACGGTGGGAGAACTGACTTGGATGTTTTGCGTTTTATCGCAAATATTACGGTTAGCAAGAGTCGCCACTGACTTTTCTTTTATCCAAAAGGAAAGGTGAAAAAGTACAGGAAAGACCTTTGAGATTATTTCTTGAGTTCGGGGGGTAGATTATGAAAAGGGAAGGTATTAGCACCCTTTTCATCCATGGTTTTCCATGGGCTCTTAGTTGCTTGCTAGATCACTTGCTTTTGTTTGAAATTGTGCTTTGTGTAGTTTTTTTTGAAAGTATTTTGTAAAGAGGCCATTATTTAGGCAATCTTTGTAATGATTCTCGTTCGTAAGAATGTATACAAAGATGTTGATCTTTTGAAAATGTTTTTAAGTTTTGTAAGATGTTTTGAAAGTGTAGGTGTTTGTTTTTTAAAATAGCAAGGATGTTTGTTTTGAAATGGAGCAAGTAATTAGGAGCAATCTACCTACTCAAATGTCTTTCTTGTTCATTTCCTTTTCCTTTGACATTGTTGTCTTGCCATTGGTTTGGTAAGCAACCTCATCTTTGGATGTAAATGGGACGGGCGTGGATCATCGTATAACCATGATTAGTAATGTTGCAAGGTATCTTAGCATTCTTTTGGAGGGACTAAGATCATTTGTAAGGCAACTTAGATAGCATCATCGAGGGACTATGATCTTGTATTTACTTATTTTTTCTAAGATACCTCACATGCGTAATATGCCCATTTTGTATAAGGAAACCGAGTGGAATAACCCTAGGGGTGTTTGTGTGCAAGTGCATCATTTTCATACTTGTTTTTGTCTTGAATTAGGATTTTCTAAGCATTTGTTTTAGTCTTTCCATACAAACCCTAATTACTAGCATTGTATATAAAAGCGATAAATTGTGAAATTTAAAGTTACTACGCTATTACAATATTTGTGGGGAGGGGGGTATACAATTTGTAAATGGGGATTGCAAGAATTTAAACCTAATTAGTCTATTACAACCATATTGAATTGGTATAAATATACAAGAAAATAAATAAATACAAGGAAATAAATAAATACAAAGTAATAAAATGAATGAATTGTACAAAAATGCAAAAAATGTAAAGAGAATGTATCTTTGTTTGATTTTCATGAAAAAGGGATTTTGCCTTGACCTAATTAAATAAAGAAAATAATTAATTGAATTTGAATTTTATTAAGAAAAAGATTTTAAGTGAAACTCTAATTTTATAAATTAATCAAAAGAAAATAAGTTTAAAAAAGTATTTTTAGTATTTTCATCTTTTAAAAATATTTATAGTATCATAAAATATTTTTAGTCTTTTTTATATAAAAAATAATGTATTTAAATTAATATGAAAGAAAATAACTAATCACCTAATTTTATTTATTTACAAGATAATAAGTAAAAAATAAATAAAGTATAATAAATAAAATATTTTTTGTGAGAAAAATAAGATAAACTAATTCAAAGTATAAATATATCATTTTTTGTATTTTATGATTTTTTTTCCAGTATTTTAGAAAATATATTTAAGAAAATAAAATAAAATAATTTTAAAAAAAAACTTGGGCCAGGGGTGCCATTAGTCAGCAGGGAGGTCGGTGAGCAAAAACAAAAACAAGTCAGACCCAAAAGGGCACAACGCCTGCCAAAAACAACCAAAATCAGAAAAAATGAAAATGTGAAAAATGAAAAGGGTACCACTGGGGCTCGAACTCAGGTCCCATAAATTACAGGCGCGCGCTTCTACCACTGGGGTGGTTGTACATCCGTTAATACAAATGAAACAATAAATATGTAAGGCAAAACGTGTTCTGAAGACTTCATCTTCAACCTCCAGCCAGATCAACTGTAACTTGCTTATTTCTCATCAAAAATGAGAACTGTAAACATGAAACTTGTAGCAAATTTTCTCACGATTCCAGAAATGTAAAGTATTAAAACTATAGATCAAATATAAGTAAGAATTTTAATGGCCCTAATATGAACCCTAAAAATTTCAGAAATTTCAGTTTCAAAATTCTCTAAGCTCAAGCAAAATTAATGGAAACTAAGGACATGGTTAGCTTTATGGCAATGATATTTACATGTTTTATTCATAAATAAACTATTGATGATGTCTGTATGAAGAGTTCCAAGTTGAGAAAACTTACCTCAAAACTGGAAATCGTGTTTGGAGTTTGAGCTTGTTTCAAGTGATGGTGTTGATCATGTTAGCTTCCTTGAGGTCCTAAGAAGCTAATGTAATGTCTGCTTGAGTTGAGAGTGGTTGAGGTGACTTGGAGAAGTCCAACTGTAATGCTCTGTTTTTGGTTATGGAAGATAGGGTAAATGATGTTATAGAAATGAAACAGGTACAGGGATAAGTTACACTTGATGTAAGGAAGCTTTAGAAACTAAAAGGCCAAGAAACGCACGAGAGAAATGTGGGTTTGAGGTTCAAGGTCAGAAACTGTGTAACAATGAAGTTTTTGGGAAATTTCTGATTTGAGAGAGTTTTGGTGTATTTCAGGGTGCTCAAGCTCGTCTTCTATTTCACAAATAGCGACTCTATTTATAAGCAACAAGTTTGGAATGCTCTGGTTGATCAGAATTCAAATTTACATGTTTATGCATAACATGTGACTTTTTTTGAGAAATTCAAGTTTCCATGCCTTGTACTTGGTTCATAGGGTTGTTAAACCACTTTAAACACAATGCTTCTGACTTTTTGGATGGAGTGTAATCAAGAAAAACAAGTTTGGAGCTCAAGAAGCTGACTTTGTGCATAAAGCTTGCTTTACAAGAATGGATATGTTACTTTCTCCCTAAAATGGCAAATTAATTTGGACAAAGCTTGAAACACTTGGATAAGGGCATAATCAGTTGTGTAAACCATTAATTATGGAGTGACAAACAAGTTTGAGGCCTTAAAAGCAAGTATTATGCAGCCTAGCATGGATTTGGTTCATGTGTTCATCAAAAATGACTTGTAATTCAAGTGACAAAACCATAACTTCATCTCTTCGATTATCCCTCCTCAAGAATGATCTCAAGGAGTTCTTGGACATTTTGGAAAACTTTCAATGTGATCTACAACCCCTATTTTAATTTATTTTGAAGATTCCCCTTGGAACTATATGAAAAAGTTCCATGAAGTTAGGTCAAAATCCTGACCAAATTAGGGCAAAATTTCACTAAGTGTTTAGTTTCATGACCACATGTTCATAAAATTATAACTTGAGATTCAAGCATTTTTGGAAGAAGTTGTGTAAAGAAAAGTTGTAGATTTCATGGAGATCTACAACTTTCATGTTTGAAGTTTCTCTTGAATCATCTTGCATCATGGTGAAAATTTTGTTCAAAGTTATGAAAAAACATGAAATTTCCAACAGAAAAATTTCTAAGTTTAGAAATTTTGACTTTTCAAAATGAAATCTTGACTTTTTGAT